CATCCTCCCACCTACCTACCCACATATTTATCTATCTGTCCTATCAATTACCAAGTATTTATTTAGCACTCATGTGGCATATCCTGCTGGGTGGGAATGAAGGGACCAAAGAATAACCACACTGAAGTTAAATGCAAATGAAGGTCCAGCAGGATAGGTAGAAAGTCACAGTGCAATATGGAAGGAGCCTTATAGAGGGTAGGCAAGTTCTTCACAAGAGGTGGAAAGCCAGTCAGTATTTCTGAAAGGGGTGAGGAGACAGCTGACCTCCAGGCACTGGACACAAGGCTTCAGAGACGAGCTTTTCACCCCAACAGGTACCTGGGAAGCCCTCTCAGCAGACATGAGCCAGGTTACACTACAGGGAGATCATTTTTGGAAGACAGAAGTAGTAGTGGTTAGCATGAAAGGAGTTTTCAGGATGGGTTTCATATAATTACAGCCCTAAGTGCTAGGACCTATTAAGGTATCTTGGCCTTTTAAATTTTTTCCCCTTAGCTTCTGTGTTCAGTTAGATACACTTTTATAATAAACTTACTTTAAAAAATTTGCAGGTGTTTTAAAATTTATCTCACTGTGTATAGAGAAACAAGAGTTCAGTGATCAATTCTACCCTCAAGCTTAGGGTGAATACATAGCTTTCTGGCTGATCTAAGATTGACTGATCATTGTTCCAAGACAATCTCTCGGAATTGTTTGAGCAGCATGTGGAATAAGTGAGGTAACAAATCCTTCAGTCTACCTAAAATTCCAGACTCCCTTCATCTTCTAATTTTATTTATGAATGCAAATACACTGGTGTTCAGGATAAATAAGGAGCACCAGTTTCCAAATGCATTAGAGAAGTTCATCTCAAAGATAATGACCAGTGGAAAGAGGTGGTGTTGGAATACCTGGATCAGCTGGGAAATACAATATGGCATAAGAAACTAAAAATGTGTAGGAACAAATATATGGACTTAAGGATTTATGGACACATTTTAGGTAGCAAGGGTGAAATAAATTAACCTGCAAAGGACTTTTATAATCTATATCATCACATTAAACTAATCCTCTCCCCACAGGAAATAGTATTATCCCCTATTTGGGACTTCTCACCTGACCCTTTTCCTATTCAGATGTCTTGGATTAGAAAGCCACAATAAATCCTGCTAGAGGAATCAGATTCTCTACTAAGCAAAACCCTAGCTTTGTTGAGTTGGGCCATGTTAACCAAGATGATGTCAGATAATCAGCAATATGAATTTATTAAACCCCAATTTCTTAAAGGCAGGTAGTGTAATTAATTTTAATTATTTAGTTTTAATAGTCTTGAGGGTGTTTTAGAATTTACTTTAGTTACTAAGAACCCTCCAACAGAATCAGGCAGAATGAGGACTCCAGTGTGCAGCTTCTGTCTTCCTGTCGTCCTCCTAGATCCTCACATCATTATCCTTAAGAGACATAAGTTTTGGAAAATACAATTTCCCATCTTCATTACTTTGGTCTCTTTCTTATTTTCCAGCAGTAGCTGGACAGAGGAAGCCAAAACTATCCCCATAAACTTGAGGGAGACAACAATCCTGACAAAATGCAGTGAGATGAAAAAACTTAGGAAGATTAAATGCTATAATTAGCAAATTTAGTAACTCCAGAGGGGAGTTTTGGACCTACCCATCGACCACTGGGAATATTGCTGATGTTCTGAGGGCTGCAAAGAGAACTCTGGAAGGGCTAAATCTCTCATGATGACTGATAAGAGTTATTTCCCTGATTCTTCTGGAGCTACACCATTTAAATGTTTATAGATTTTACAGTTTATTTGCACTGGAAATCATTGCAAACATGTAATCATTTAGGTTAAGATGAAAGGGAGAAAGGTGTCCCTATCATAGTCATCTCAACATCACTTATTAAGTGAGTTACTTTTCCAGCCGTTGATTTGAAATCCACTCCCCCCATCCCCTACTCCATGTCACTTTCTTTTTAAGTAATACATTTAAGGTTGCAATTATCAGCAGACTGGGAGCCTTCCTGCCATGGCAGGATAAGAATTATGCTTCTAATATGGTTTTATAATCACAAACTACAAATGGCCTTAAGCTGAAACTGAACTTGTTGGCTCAGTTTTATGAGAAAGAAAACCACAGCATCAACCTGGCTGGAAACAAAAGTTGTTATACTTGGCAAGAATTTCACAAATCTTTGAATAAGCAATACTAAATAACCCTGTTCATAAGCAAACTCTGAAACTTGGGGGTTTGATTGTAAAGCTAATGCTTTGGGATGGGTCTATACAATGAAGGTCTGCCCCAAAATGACACATCATCATCCTGAGCTTACCCTCTAGTTGAGGATAATCACTGGGAATACCTGCACTGTAAATTGTTCAAACTCAAATAAAATCGCCTCTATGGATCAGAATTCTGAGTACTTAGTCAAAATTTATGCAAGGGCCTGAGCTCATTCAAAGCTATTTAGAGGAAAGTTTTGGCCCCATGGAAAAGACACCAGAGAGGCCTCTGATAAAGGAGTCGACTGGGCCTGTGGGAGTCAACGTCAGTTGGATTCATAACTGTTCACATGGAGAAGTGAGCTCTGCTACCTGTCCTCTGGCATCTGACGCACTGGGTCTCTCTAGGCAGTAACTGAGAGTCTGGGTATTATTCACTCATTTACAGAAATCAATTAGGACTCGACTGCAAAACTAGCATGTATCAAAGAAGCATGCTCCAACCCACAGGTGACTGTCCATACATGATATATGATACAAAAGCGATTCACTCTTCTATTACCCCAGTTTTAATTATCTCAGTCCTGACTATTCTGAGTCAAGACTTAAGGTTAAGATAGCTATGATATTTACATCTTTCAGAAAAGAGTTGATGAATACTCTGCCTGTCATACTACTATCTCTTATAAGGGAGCTTCTGGCCTACAGGTGAGATAAATAGATCATTCCAGGTGTCTAGTACATTCTTCTGTTTGCCTTACTGGTTACTCTACAATATGTTTTATTTATATTTAAACATTGTTAGCTCCTTTTCTATTTATTTATTTGTTTATTTATTGGTTCTTTTTATATATGACAGTAGAATACATTTTGATATAATGATACAAATATGGATTATATCTTATTCTAGTTAGGACCCCATTCTTGTGCATATACATGAATGGATTCACTGTGATGTTTTCATATATGTGCATAGGAAAATTATGTCTGATTCATTCTACTGTTTTTCCTTTTCCTATCCCCCTCCCTTCACTCCATTTCCCACTGTCTACTCTACTGAACTTCTATTCTTCCCCTCTTTTGTGCTTTAGCTTGCACATATTAGAGGAAACATTTGACTTTTGGGATTGGCTTATTTCACTTAGCATAATAGGTTTCCATTTACTGGCAAATGTCATAAAGTCATTCTTGTTCATGTGCTAATTTCTTTAGATAACTTTATTAAATAAAGAGAATGTAAGCACCAGAAATGGAGGGATTTGACTGTCTTGGTTATATTCTCTGTACCTGTCTTGATTATATTCTGGCTGTAATTTTTCCTCAATGAACATGTTGAACAAATAGCAAAGAAGTGAATTATTAAAGAAACAGACACACACATATACATGCACATAACAATAGGAATGACCAGATGTGCTGTTCATCACTACTTATTTTATCAGCAGTTATCTAAAGGTAAAGAAAATTTTTGTTTGTGATCATATTATTCATTCAACAAATCTTCACTGCACATCTGCTGCATGGCAGAATCCTCTGGCATAGCTGCTGCTTTAGAGAGGCTCAAAAACTTACTGGGATAAGATAGGGGATCATCAGATAAATGTGGGGCAGTGTGCTGAGTAAAATGGTAAGAGATGCATGCAGAAACTTAGGGAGGTCAGGGGAGGGTGCTTGATCAGCCGGAAACATGGGGAGTACATCCAGGAAGCTGGTAACAGTTCCTGAAGAAGGGTGTGGGTAAGGTGAGCACCTGAGGATGCACAAGAGAAAATCAGGGAGAGAGGCATGACTCCAGGAGTCCTTAAAGGAAGAGCAGACAGAACTGGCAGGGAGGGTATGAGGATATAAGGAACTAGAAAGGGCTGGATGTAGCTGCAGCATGAAGGGATAAGAAGTAGTGAGGGGTGAAGCAGTGGAGGTAGAGGCCTGGCACACCCTGAGAAGCCCAGGATTTATTCTTGTAGCAATGAGATTTTGCATGACTCCTAGATTAAGAGGCATGACTTTGTTGGATCTGTATTTTAGATAGGTCACCTTTAATATCCGGATAGAACCTGGAGTAGGGGGAGATAAAACCCAGATCAGCAGGACCAGACAGCACAGGTGAGAACTGATGAGAGCCTAGACTATCACAGGGTTATAAAAATGGAGGGATGTGAATGAGAAAATTTCCTGTATATTTTAAAAATACATTTTTATTTTATATTTCCTTGTTGCAAGTATTCTTATCATTTCTTTGGGTTCCTCATTTTCTGTATTTTCTTTTGGAGGCCTACAATAAATAGCACACTTTGTTTGAAACATTTTTACAGTAATTCTGGATTTAAGATAAAAAGTGCAACAGCTGTGATAGCAAAGTGCAGACAAAAAGAAAAGAAAAAAATGTAATTCTGACTATGCTAAGTTCACCTCTGGCAACATACAGATACATAAAAAATGTATTTAAAATTTTAAAAAAGTATTTAAAATTTTATTTGTGAGGTTTATTTAATCTTATCAAAGCAATGAAAAGACGTTAAGATCAGCATTTACTCAAATCAGATTTACTCAAATACTTATCTCTAAATTAAGATGAAAAATAAATGATCTTTAAACTATGTTTTAGAATATGACATAGTATATAGAAAAATACCTTCAAATAATACTTTCAAAGGCATTCTCCCTGCCAGCAATCTTACACAATAACATTCTTTTCAGTGAATTTTTTTCTCTTTTTCAAACTGGCAAGAGAGTGAGTTAGTAAATGCTCCATTTTCCACAGCCATGACCAATAAGTGATGAACGGTACCTTGTGCACAATGAGCTCATGGGTGCCATCTGGAAGGGTCCTGCCATCTTCCTGCATCAGGGGCACAAAGGAGAAACCAAACAACTTCTTCTCTCCTTTCTCCTTTGCTAGAAAGAAAAAAGAAAGAATCACTTGCTTATTCAAGTGCATGTTTACACATGTGTGTTTAAGAAGTAAGAACATTAAGAGATGTAACTGTCCCCACTCTTACCCCTCAACACACAGAGAACTGCATTTATGGTAGGAAATATACCTAAAGTATCCATCCTCTAACCCCATATTCCTGTTCCCAAATATCCAAAGTTTCATTCCTTGTCTAAATTTCTTCATAGGACTCACTATCTGAAATCATGCTTTAAATTCTGTGGATTGCTTGTTTCTTCTCACATCACCCCTAAGCACCACCAAAGACAGGTGTTATGGTTTAGATGTGGTGTCCCCCAAAAGCTATGTGTAAGACAATGCAAGGTTTGGAGGAGAAATGATTGAGTTATAGCTTTAACCTAATTGGTGGATTAATCCCTGATGGATTAATTGAGTGGTAACTAGAGACAGGTTGGGTGTGGCTGGAGGAAGTGATTCATTGGGGGTGTGGCTGTGGGGTATATATTTGTATCTGGAGAGTGGAGTCTCTCTTGGCTTTATGATCATGATATGAGCTGCTTTCCTCTGCTACATTCTTCCACCATGATGTTCTGCCTCACCTCAAGCCCCAAGGAATGGAGCCAGCCTTCTATGGACTAAGACCTCTGAAACTATGAGCCCCCAAATAAACCTTTTCTCCTCTACAATTGTGCTGGTGGGGTCCTTTATTCACAGCAGTAAAAATGCCAACTAAAACAGGAGAATTCTTATCTGTTTTATTTTATATTCTCAGAGTGCCAAGAACATAGTAGGCTCTCAATAAATAAATGTTTAATTAAAAAATGAATGAATATGGAATTAAAGATTTTGCTTACTACCCATGGAAAGGAAACTTCCCATCTCTGCCTTGCTCCATATAGACCTTTCTTCCCTGTATCCATACATGTGAGGATGGTGTGATGCAGGTGAAAACTACTTCCTTGGAATAGGGATGATCCACTGAAAGGCAATATGAATTGCAAACTATAATTTAATACGGGCTTATTGTAGTATTATTCAGAAAGTTGGAAATGAGGCAATGAGATTTTCTGATACCTAATTAAGAAGTACAATGGCTAGAAATTCTGAGGCTCCTTAGCTACTATTTATAGATAAGGAAATTGAGATCCCAGATGTTAGGTAACTTGCTCTAGATCTTTTAAAAGTACCATTCCAGTTCTTCCATCATGCTTTTTTCTCCAAAAAGGGAGAAACTGTTAACAGAACCTTGCTTGTTTAACTTGACTCTCCTTGTACTTAGCCAGTGCAGGGAAGAGCTCTCCAGGGCTTGTGACCTGTTTGGGGCTGGATGGTTATTGTTTCCCATACAAGTGTAGCAGCAGAGTGTTACATTTTAATAGGAAAGTTCTGCCCTGAAAGATCATAAGATCTGGACTAGAAGAGTTAGATATGGTGATCCTGAAGATTACACAAGAGGGTTAGCAACAGCTTCCCTTTCAACTGCTTCTGGCATTCAACCTCAGGGAGTGGACCTCATGCAGAGAACAGTAGTTTAAGTTGCCTGGCATTGGCCCTGAACATGAAGACATTCCTGAAAGTGTGGTTTCTTTTAGGTGGGTCCTTTTGAAAAAAAAAAAAAAGGCGGGGGGGAAGGTTCTTAAATCCTTAAAATTATTAATTTCAACTCTAGAGAGAAACTGGGAAAACAAAGTTAAATAAAATTTGAGCAAAGACCTTTGGGATTCAGAGGAGAAGACCTTTATGATTCAGAGGAGAAGACTTATTTAGAAAAATTTCCTAATTTATTTTTTGGTATGGTTTGTGTTAGTTAGAAGCAATTTCCTAATTTTATTTTATTTTCTATAGTTTTGGTAAGGTTTATGGTATTCAACTCAGAAAAATAAAGTAACTAAAGATTCCATAATAAATAAAATTAGCAAAACTAAGAAGCAATACAATCGCTTTCCCAAATTTGCCCTCCATTATAAAATAAAATAGATATTAAACAAAGTTTAATGTACATGACAATTTTTCCTGAGCCATTAGATCAGGATTAATAACTTAATGGAATGCTATATACAGTCTGCATAGCATCACCCCCTTTTACTAATAAAATACACTAAATTTGTGCATTCTACCTCTAAACTTCCAATTTATTCTTTCTAGTACCATACTCCAATAGTTCTGCCTCCTGGAACCTTCAATTCACAAAGCTTGCCCTTGGTCCCCTCCTGTCTCAGTCTCCATTTTAATGGTCCACCATTCCAGTTACCTCCTTCCATATATCCTTGGCTTTCTTATTCCTCCACATTTCCATGGTAACACTCAAGCTGGTTAAATCCGACTTTGAGTTTCTTCTATGCCAAACTAACCTAATTTCACTTTAATGAATGCACACTAACCACAAAGGGGTCCTTAGCTGGGCAAGCCTCCACTCACCTAATCCACTTCCTAGACAACTGTCTTACCTGCTCTCCCTTCTCAAGCCTCCAACACCTTGGCTACCCTCCTCACTGTCACCTGATGTGGAGAGAGCTCCCACATACTACAGAACCTATTAACCCACTGCCTCTGTGCTCCCCTGTAATACTGTCGAGTATCCACACTCCTGCTCCTTGAACACTGAACCCTACTCTCCTTATCCCAAGGGCACTGTTCCTATAGTTGTACCTTCTGTCTTCAGTATCACCTTTCTTCCTTTTGACTGAATTATTTACACCAAATAAACAGGCATTAAAAACTTCATCTTAAAAAATACCCTCATATGACCAACTATTTCATTATAGTTCCTAACCCATGTCTCTGATCTATTTTCTTTTCTCTTTCTCTTTCCTCTTCCCTTTTTTCCTTTAAAAAAAATTTTTTTAGTTGTAGATGAACACAATACCTTTATTTTATTTGTTTATGTTTATGTGGTGCCAGGATTGAACCCAGTGCCTCATGCATGCTAGGCAAGCCTCTACCACTGAGCTACAACCCCAAACCCCTCTTCTTTCTTTTCTCCATTTCCTTTCTTTCATAACCTTTATTTATTTTTAATTTTTTTTGGGGGGGTACCAGGGTTTGAATGCAGGGGCACTTAACCACTGAGCAACATCCCAAACACTTTTTTGTATATATATATATATATATATATATATTTTATTTTGAAACAGGGTATTGCTAAGTTGATTAGGAGCTCACTAAACTGTTGAGGCTGGCTTTGAACTTGGAAGCCTCCAGCCTCAGCCTCTGGAGCCACTGGGATTATAGCACGTGCTACTGTACCTGGCAGCCTTTGTTTTTTAAAAAGCAGTTTCGGGTTCACAGCAACACTGAGAGGAAAATATAAAGATGTCCCACGTACCTACCCTGCCCCAACTCCTGCATCGCCTTCAGTGGTACCAACATCCCCTGTCAGAGTGGTACAACTTCTTCAGCTGATGACTTGACATTGACACATCTCTATTACCCAAAGCCCAGTGTGCACATTAGGGTTCACTTGTGGGGTCATACAGTCTATGGGCTTGTACAAATGTACAACGACATGCATCTGTTGTTATAATTTCATCCAGAAATGTCACCACCCCCAAATGCCCTGTGTTCTGCTTACTCATCCCTCCCTCCCCTAGCCCTTGGCAACCACTGAGCTTTATACTCTCTCCATAGCTTTGCCTTTCCCAGACTGTCATGTGGTTGAAATTATACGGTATATAACCTTTTCAGATTGGTTTCTTTCACTTTGTAATAGGCATTTAAGTTTCCTCCATGTCTTTTCACGGCTTGATAATCTATTTCTTTCTAAGTGGACCTAGATTCCATTGTCTGTATGTACCACCGTTTATCCATTTACCTACTGAAGAACAGCTGGGCTCTTTCCAAGTTTGGGCAATTATGATAAAGCTGCTATAAATGTCTGTGCGGATTTTTGTGCAGGCATAAGTTTTCAGCTCCTTTAGGTAAATACCAAAGGAGCATGTGATTGTTGAATTTGTATGATATGAATATGTCTAATTTAGTAAGAAACTACCAAACTGTCTTTCAAAATGACTGGTATCATTTTGTATTCCCGCCACCAGTGAAAGAGAGTTTCTGTTGTTCCAGACACCTGCCAGCATTTGGTCTTGTCTGTGTTCTGGATTTTAGCTATTCTAAAGGGGTGTGATGCTATATAACTGTTGTTCAAATTTGTATTTTTCTGATATATGTATGATATGTGATGTGATGCATGCTTTCATTTGCTTATTTGTCATCTGTATACTTTCTCTGGTGGGGTGTTTGTTAATGTTTTTATGCCCAAATTTTAACTGGCTATATGTTTTCTTATTATTGGATTTTAGGAGTTCTTTGTATATTTTTAATGTAGTCCTTTATCAAATGTCTTTTGCAAAAATTGTCTACCAATATGTGCTTGTCTTTTATATCTATTCACAGTGTCTTTAATAGATCAGAAAAATTTTAATTTTAATGAAGTCCAGCTTATCAATTCTTTCTTTTATATATCATGACTTTGGTATTAAATGTAAAAAGTCATTGTCAAACCCAAGATCATCTAGATTTTCTGTTATCTGCCAGAAGTTCTATAGTTTTATGTTTTACATTTATATCTATGATCCATTTTGATTTAATTTTTGTAAAGGATGGAAGGTCTCTCTCTAGATTTCTTTCTTGAAATTGCCAAATATCCACTTATCCCAGAGCCATTTGTTGAAAAGACTATCTTCTTATTATATTACCTCTGATTCTTCATCAAAGATCAGTTAACTTATGTGAGATTAATTCTGGGCTCTTTCTTCTGTTCCTTTGGTCTATCAATTTATTCCTTCACAATATCATACTGTCTTGATTACGTGGTTTTACAGTAGTTCTTAAACTCAGGCAATGTCAATCCATTAACTTTGTTATTCTCTAATACTGTGTTGGCTATTTAGGTCTCTTGCTTTTCCTTTTCCATATAAATTTTAGGATCAGTTCTCTCTCTCTTCTCTTTCTCTTCTCCCTCTCCCTCTCCCTCTCCCTCTCCCTCCCCTCTCCCTCTCTCTCTCTCTCTCTCACCGTGACAACATTCAGTTAGGAAGAACTGACATCTTCACAATATTGAGTTTTCCTAACCATGAACATATCTCTTGGATTATTTACAGCAAAACTTTTCAAAAGACTTGTCTATATTTATAGCTTTCTCTTCCTTTTCTCTATCTCACTCTTGAACTCACATCCATCACCACAAATACACTAAAATCACCTGCCAAATTCAATGTTAAATCAAATGATAATTTCTCTGTCTTTACCTTATTTATTACTGGCTCCTGACATATCTGATCAATTCTCTCTTGAAAAACTAGTTTCATTTAGCTTTCTGGATGCTATTTATCCTTGATTATCCTTCAACCTCCTGGCTCTTCTTATTGTGACTTAATGGCTCCTTCCCTTTCTCCCAGCTATAAATGTGGGTGAGTGCTCTAGAGAGCCATCCATGGACTTCTCTCTGCTATCTGATCATATTACTCAGGAATCTCATTTGGACTCATGGCTTTTAAAAAAATGTCAAAATTAATGGTGTGCTGGAGCTGGATTGTACTAGATCATAAGAGTTGAGAATAGGCATCTCTCTCCAACTCCACATTTGATGAAATCATTTTGGTAGCTTAAAATTAGCCATGGTTGGAGCACTTATGTCATGGAAATCAACAAATGTTACAAATCAGGGCTATTCATGCCCTGAGTTCTGGTCTTTAAATAGTTATAGCAGAATACTGAACTATATGTTCTCATTCCCAAGTTTAAGTTTCCAACCTGGATCTCATTCAATTTCCTGACATTTTGAATATTTAATAAATATCAAACGTCTAAAATGAAATGTTTGATTTTTGTTCCCCAAACAGTTTCCTCTTGTTGTCTTCCCCATGTCATTAAATGAATAATTCATTCTCAGGTCAAAATCCTCAGATCATTTTTGACTTTTCTCCTTCTTTCACATCTAATTCGTCAATAATCTCTAGAAAAAGAACCAAACCAGTACCGTAATGTGACTAATTTAATCTCTTAGTTAAAAAAACTATGAAAGCCTCCCAAATGGTCTTCCTGTTCCCAACTGGCCTGTCTACAATCTATCATCCATACAGAAGCCAAACCCTCTAATGGCTCTCCTTCTCATTCCAATAAAATCCACGGAGTCTTTGTGATGATGTAAGAGACAATAGTAGATCTGGTTTCCTTGCTTTTTCCTCCCTGTTCTCTTGCTGTTCCTTAAAAATATTAAGCATGTTAGGTGTGGTGGTACACACCTGTAATCCCAGCGGCATGGGAGGCTGAGGCAGGAGAATTGCGAGTTCAAAGCCAGCCTTAGCAAATGTGAGGTGCTAAGCAACTCAGTGAGACCCTGTTTCTAAATAAAATACAAAAAGGGCAAGGGATGGGGCTCAGTGGTTGAGTGTCCCTGAATTCAATCCCCAGTACCTGACCCTCCCCAACAAAAAAGAAAATGCCAAGTGTGTTTCAAGCTTCTGTCTTTTGTATTTACCATTCTCTCTCTCTCTGGAATATTCTTTCCCCAGATACCTCAATAGCTCAAGCCTTTACCACTTCTACCTTGTTGCTGACACACCTCATTATCAGAGAGGTATTCCCTTGACCACTTTATGTAAAGTAGCAACATAGTACTATCACTTTCTAGCCCCCAAACTCAATTTAGCCTTCTTTACTACACCCACCACTCAGTATCCATATATCATGTTTATTTCTATACATATAGATCTATGATAAAGTTTAGTTTTTTAATTAGATACAGCAAGATTTAGAAAAATAACTTACTATAGATTTTAGCAAACTTAGAATATGATTTTTCCCTCCTGAGAACTTTTAACTTTTCACTTAAGGGAAGCATTTTATATCTTCTGCTTGGCATATCTAAAATGCCAGCATCAGTATTCTTGAATTTTGGGGCCATTTATGTAAAATAAAGGTGACTGAACACAAGCACTGTGACCAAAACAGTCAATATGATAATTGAGACAGCCATTAAGTGACTTATAGGTGGGTATTATATACCATATGGATACACTGGACAAAGGGATGATTCACAACTCAGGTGGGATAAGATGGGATGGTGCCAGATATCATCCTGCTACTTAGAATGGCAAGCAATTTAAGACTTATGAATCATTTATGGAATTTTCAATTTCACATTTTTGAATTGAGGTTGACTCTGGATAACTGAAATCAAGAACCACTGAAACTGTGGTTATGGGGAGACTAATGTATCATTTATTTATTTCCTCATCTACCCTCTCTGGAATGAAAGCTCTATGAGAGGGAAATCTTGTATTCATAGATACATCTCCAGCACCCAGTCAAGTGCTCAGGTACACTGTAGGTATTCAATAAATATTCATTTCATGAATAAATGATATTTTGAACAAGCAAAAATATTGATGTCCATGTGATAAAATAATTTCAGTGAATATGTGTAGTTTATGGGATTATGGGAATTTTTTCTTCTTTATGCTTTGCTATTTCTTTTGAATTTTAATAATGAACATTAAAACATCTCAAATGTGTGAGCAATGTTTAAAGTACAGGATGAGAGGGCAGAGATTTAACAGATTTTACTGAAAACAGCCTTTGTTCTGCTTTCCAAGTCATGAATTACAATAATTTTCTCCAAATGCTCTCCCTCTTTCCCTGCTGTTTCACCTTTATTTTCCTCTATCCTTTCCTTGCTTTAAAGCTCAAAGCTCATATTAGGTCCAAGTGAGAATTGATAACAAAGGCTGGTGGAAGGAACAGTTTTCTATCACTCTAAGTCCTTTATGTTTTCCCATTTCAAGTCCTTTATGTAAAACTCTTCTGGGAATTTGAAAGACTAGTGAGACTCTGCTAGCCATGTTCCTGTATTCTAAAACAAAATTTAATTTATAGAGCTTTCTGCACCAATTATGAAATATGCCATAGTCATGGCCACAGATGTAGTCCTCTCCTGAAGAAGAGAACTGGTTGAATTATAGTGTCCCTCAGGGGAAGTCGCCATGTATCTCTTGATGGTGCCCTGAGACTGCAGAGGCACAGAATGGAAAGGAGCCTGCCACTTTTCTAATCCTGTGATTCTCCTATACCTCTCACCTGCTATATGCCTCTCAAAGCAAGATTTACCAGAACCTTCTCCTGTCACAATGTATATTCTAGGGGGTGTCTACAATACATTTCAGGGACACAGGGAATATCAAAGATTACTGGTCAGAGCTCAGTGGGGGTATGGAGGATGCTTGAGAGTGTGGTAATGAATATAAGAGAATTAAAATAGAGATACCAGGAAATGACAACTTCATGGACAGTAATGTCCACATGAATAAATCTGGTAAAATTTCTGTCTTGAGTTGTTTAAATCTGTAAATAAGGCTATTACTTTGTATTATCTGAAAGACCTTTTCCGGCTGACATTATTTGATCCTCATTTCGACATCATCTGACACTGAACAGGGATGCAGATATACACAAATGAGACATCAATTCAAGTCTAACAGGCTTACCAGTGGATGAACATGCACAGAAGATTCTGAGTAAGCTCTGCCGTTCTGACCAGGAGCTGGATCAGTTCTTGGTGCTACCAGTCTGGTCAGGGCTGCTGAAGACCAGAACCTACCCAAGTTTTAATACTGTCTCCCTTTCTATCTAATCTTTCTAGACCATGGTGAGCTTTTTATAATAGCAATCAATTTAAAGAGAATCTGCAGATTTCCTGCAGTTTTTCCCCCTCTTCTCTCATTTCTTCTCTGTTTCCATAAAGGTTTTTGGCTTTGCAAATAGTGAGTCCAATTCCCTCTCAGGGTTCCCACTCACCTTCTTTCCTCCCTCCAGAAATCTCATTTGTCACTCTTTCTGCAGATCAGCCCCCTATCATCACTACAGCTAAATGACTATACTATACACATATCAACACAATACAGCCACAGAACCAACCCCAGCAAACACTTACTGGAACAATGCCGAAACTCAAAGCGGATGTGTGCGCCCCTGAACTTATCCACAGGAATAGGCAGTTTCAGCAGTTCAGACCACCTGGGACTGTTGTTATGATAAAGCACAAAGGAGTGGTATTCACTAGCTGGAGGCTCTCCAGAGCCAAAGGAGATAAAATCCTAACAAAGGAAACATGCAGGTTAAAGACAGCTTCATCCAAAGAATGAGTCTCTTCAAAGTGGCACCACAATCAGTGCTCTTTCTGCCTGGGCTCCCCAAACAGCACCCCATGTGAAATCACTCCCCATTCTTTGCCACGTCATTTCTGTACTTGCTGCTGCCCAGTAAGGTGTGTCTGTTTAATTTGATGCTGGTCTTCCAGGGCATGCTGTGCCCAGGTGATGTATGAGAGATGGACAACTGCAGGACCCACTGGAAGTACGAATATGAGGCAAAGTCCCCAGACTGCTGAAGCCAAAAGCCCATTCATGGTCCCAGCAGGTATTCACTGGGCTCAGCAGCCAACACTAAAAGCAACAGGGCAATATACTTCCTCAATAAGAAGAGCCTCAGGAAAAATGCTTCTTCCATGAAGGAGCCTATTATTATCACCCCAAATGGCAAGTAGTACCCCAGTCTTCATGTCCAATTATGGTAAAAAAAAAATTTGTAAGATTAAATATGACTCCCCCCAACTTTTTTTTAGCCAATTGCCAAAGATCAAGTGTTTCATACAAAACCATGGCAGATGAAAGGGGGAATAATTAAATAGCATAAATAAATATTACACTTAAGGAATAACTGTTATGAAGAAAATATTTGACACAATAAAATAAAAGCCTTTTTGCTTTTCTATTTCATTTTTGAGAGGCATCCTAATGAGTTTTTAAAAAGAAAACTTGGGCTGGGGTTGTGGCTCAGCAGTAGAGAGCTTTCCTAGCATGTGTGAGATCCGGGTTCCATCCTCAGCACCACAAAAAATGAACAAAATAAAGATATTGTGCCCACGTATAACACACACACACACACACACACACACATATATATATATAAAACTATACAGGGTGGAGAAGACAATACTGCAAATCAGAAATTAACTGATCACATTAAAGATGAAGCCAAAGCAATTATGTAGAATAATTTTACCAAAAAAATATCCAGTATTAACGTACCTTTAAGGTCTGGCCACTACTATCTACAATGAACATCGTAACTTCCACATTTCTGGCCACACTCTTCCCTCCTTTCTCAAATTCTCCCCTTTCTATGGTGATATATAAATCATTCCTCATTTCACCTATTAGGAAATGAAAAATAAAATCACGTTTTATATATATATATTTGGAAGTGTAATAGTGTTTTATCAGGAAAAACTTTAGTTTATAAAATTTACTGTCATACATATAAAGGTACAAATGTACTTTAAAAGAAGGGTCCCACCCTCACTGCCAGTGCTGAAGAAGAATAAAAGCCAACTTCTGCTAGTCTGAACTCACAATACTACAAATGTGCATTTAAGAGATGAATACCAAGACTGAGGAGGAAGGTGGTGTCCAGTCTCACCGTTTGTCAATATTTCCCTCATTTCATTTACGAGGTGTGATTACAAAATGACAGCCTAGCAGAGGTGGCTCACAGAAACCAGTATTATTACTTTTTAGTAACGGCACTTTAGAGTAGAAGAATTACCTAAATGGAATAAAATGATAGGACTGCAAAGAGTATAGTTACAATTTAAATCTTTTCCAAAATTCACAGACAAAATGATCTCACTGCTGGAAGAATCCAGATTAGCACTTTATGAGCACAGATGTAGAATAATTCACTCACACAAATTCAATTTAATATTTCATGCCATCAAGCTATAAAACAAATGAGTAAGGCCCTAGATTCAAACTGACATTTTCTAGGCACACATGAACCATCTATATTTTCTCCATTTGTGATTTATAGAACTTGAATGTCTTTTAACCCCACCCTTTTCTTATGATTATAAGAAAAAATAACATTGTGCCAACTAGCAAACTTATGCAAATGGTCTAAAAGCATGCTTTTTTTTTTTTTTTTTTTTTTTACTTCTCCTGTAAGAATTAAGTGGCATGGGTGGATAGAAATAAGAAATACATAAATGAAGCACTACTACTTGAAAGTTTTTGAAGATCAATGTTGGTGAGATGGCAAGGCCAAACTTATTTATTATAACTTTCAAATGTTTGAAAGATTAAAAGTAACACTCTTTGAGAAAAACCTTCCATTAGGAGGCAGAAAATCACCAGAAAGAAAAATAACCACATAAATATCTGCAACTGTGAGAGTTATAAAAGTTTCTGATCAAAGTGTGTTTAACAAAGTACCCCAGCTCTCCAATCCCAGTGTCCTAGTCACCATCTTCCATGAAAACCAGCTTTTATGATAGCATCGTTCCCAAATGACCTGGGCTGACTAGGAAACAGATGGGCATAAAACAAATGAATTGAGTAAGTTCCAATAAGTATTAAACCTGAACCACCCTCTGCAAAGAGTATATAAAACGCACGCTAGTGGAAACAACTGATACAGAAATCTCTGGCTTATGAATTTCCACATTCTCATACAGCTTATAGAACCAACTTGGGAAAGTGATAAATTTATAAGTCCAGGACAAAACCAACACATTTCATGAGTCAGACATCATTAGGTACATGTATGGCTGCACATATGGTGCAATGTACATCATGTACAACCAGAAAAATGTAAAGTTGTGCTGCAATTATGTACAGTGAATCAAAAGGCATTCTGCTGTCATGCATACCTATTTAAAATAAATAAATTAATAAAAATATTATATATGCTTTGAAAGTTTTGTTTTAACTTTTTCCATGTTTTTAATGTTTTAATGAATGGTCCAGTCACTTTTGAAAGTTTGCTAGATTTTTTTTTTTATAACCCATTTCATTTTATTACTATTGAGATGTTCCTCGGTATTCATGAGAGATTATTTAACGGTCCTCTGGTCCACACCAAAATTCATGGATGCTCAAGTTCCTTCTATAAAATGGTGCAGTATTTGCATATATCCTACACACATCTTTCCAGGTACTTTAAATCATGTCTATATTACTTATGAAATCTAATACAATGTAAATGCTATGTAAACAGTTGCTATATTGTATTATTTAAGGAGTCATGATAAGAAAAATTCTATGTGTTCAATGCAGACACAATTATTTTTCTGAATGTTTCTGATTCATCGCTGGTTGAATCTGTGAATGTGGAATCTGTGGATACAAGGGCGTGTGTGTGTGTGTGTGTGTGTGTGTGTGTGTGTATTTAAAAAACATACACAAACACACCTTAAGGTTATTTTTTAAAAATTCTACTAGAGAACGAAGAGCAAACTTGCAAATTTTGTCATCCGAATCAAGCTACTTAGGCCAATAAAAAAGAACTTTGGTGTGCTAACTGACTGCACACATACCAGTCAGTAAGGTGCTTGGAAGGACATTCTTGACATCAGTTTACCATTAACAGATGTGGAAAAAAAAAAAAAAAACAATAAAATTATTTTGGTCCTTGAAGTAGGTGATGCATCTCACAAGCAAAGTACAAACCAGACGCTGATTAATGGGAAGCATAGCTATAGGGACTTTTACCTAAGAAATTTCTCATAATGAATAATTAGCTTGTCTAACTACACAGGGATTGGTTGTCCTGCAAAAGAAGGACTAGAGTTTTCTTGGGAGAGTGTTTTCCTCACTCTTCTGCTAGAAGGCCACATCCACTTTGACTTCAGCAAAAGCAAGAGGGATGAGGGAGGTCTGCAAGGTACCCTGTTTTCTCACGTCTGTAGGCTAGACCCAAAGGAGGGAAGGCAGGGAGATGACTGCCAGTGTCCCACAATTTTTCTTCCAATTATTCATTCAACAACTATTTCTCGAGCACCTCCTTTGTGCCAGATGTACTATTCTAAGCAGTGAATAAAGCAAACATTGCAGATTCTAGTAAAGGTAGGTCTTTAATACACTAGTAAAATACACAACACACTGAACAATGTGGCTAAATTTAAGTGAGAGAAGGGGTAGGGGATGTCAAATAGGGGCAGAGAAGGAGTTATAATTCAACATGCTAATGAGAAGGATCTTCATGAAACATCAGAGACCAAAGTAAGCCATGCCATGGTCTAACACAGGAGCAAGGTGATAAATGACACTAGAATCTCATGCCAATCCACAAAGTCTATTTAGCTTCTAACTTAGCTGAATTCTCCTGTATCTTCATTACAAAGGAGATTCTGAACTCAAGCATGCCTAAAGGCTGTAGGGTCACAGGATAATCAGAATAAGGAGATTTAAGTTCTACTCTCTTTGCTACTACTATATTGTGACATTAGTCTACACAGGACAATACAAAGCTCTGGAAATCATGTCTTTCCATTATCAAAATGAGAGTGAACTAATAGCAAAGGTACAGACAAGACAGTGGAGGGACACTTGTCCTTGGAAAGGACAAGGTGACTTTCTTATGCTATGCTTTCTCTGACTTACAAAAGAGCTTCCAGAATAGAAGACATCCATATATTAGGATACCTTGTACAGATGCTTTAATATTCTATTCCTCAAATGTCACCATTCCTGTAAGCCCTCTTATCTTCTGTAAATCTTTTAGACTGAACCAAGATTTCTTTGAAAAGAAAGCACATGACAAGAAGAATATTTCTCCTGGGAGACATTCTATATATGCTTCTCTCCAGGAATTCTGCGGCTTGCTATGTTCCAATACTGCAAGGTGCCACATTCTGCCAAAATATGCAAAAGGATAAAGCTGAAACAAGTGCTAATTAAAACTGATGCACTTGAGGAGCTCTGGAGTAAACTAATAAGCCCAAGTGGTGTTAGGAAAGCATCTTGGGTAATTAGGAGAGAAACCATAAAGTGAGTATAAAATGGAGTCATGGCACCAGTGTGAAAAGCTATTTTCCCGACAATGTTTATTAACACCTCACACCTCTCAAATTTATTACTCTGTAAATTTGATGTGCATGACTCTCTCCTCTCATTATCAGGCCCACTAGTTGGGAAACCTGTATACAAGTGAAGGCTTCTGAAAATATTGCAGACAAGATGGAGATAAGGCCACAGCAATGGGAACAAAGTCGAAAGACTTCAGTGACTTCAGTCCAAAGGGTTGATTAATAGCTTGACCTAAGCAGGCACAAGGTTTCCACTAATAGAAGCAAACCCTGAGAGTTGAACATCAAGGTTCAGATTTGATTTTGGATTTTTAAATTAGGGTACATGACTGGTAAAGTTTATGCAAATATTCCAAAATAAAAAACAAGAACAAAAACAAAAACAAAAAAAACCTCTGCAATCTGAAACACTTCTGGTACTAATCACTTCAGATGAGGGAGCGACTCAGCCAGTAGTGGGAGTCCTGCTAGTAAGAGCAGCAGCAGCAGCAGCATAACTTCAGGGAGGACCAGCTGTGGGTCAGGTATTTTGTGAAGCACTAGAAGTAGAACCTCTCCTTAAATGCTCACATCCACTTTATAAAAAGGCACTATTATTTCCATTTTAGAGATGAGAAAACTGAAGCATAGACGTAAAGAAATGTGTCCAAAGTATTATTAGAACCCCACTTTATCCAGGAAAAAAATGCAATTCACCAGAGTGAGAATAGCTATCAGGTAAGATGAAACAATCTGCCTTGTCTCTCACTACAAGTGACTCCAGCAAGGAAGGTGTAAGCCCTATATTATTGTGCATTGATCAAAAAGTCATGAAATACTGATTTCAGTTCTAGGAACCCTCTTTATAGAACAGAAACGGCAAATGATAACATACAGGCTACAGACAATATGAAGAAAGGACTTAAAGTTCTAAGCAAAAAACCTCAAACCAGTGGATAGAAGAGGGAGGGAGAATGGTCCAATGTGAAAAAGGTCATTTTGAGAGGAGATCTGATAATGTGTTTTTTTTAAATTTTTCCTTCATTTTTTTACCTTTATTTATTTTTATGTGGTGCTGAGGATTGAAACCAGTGCTTCACATATGCCAGGCAAGCACTCTGCCACTGAGATACAACCCCAGCTTCTGACGATGTGTTCTTGGTCATCATAAATTTTCAATGAACTGGGCTGGGGATGTAGCTCAAGCGGT